ACAATGTTCATGGAAGCCTAACGGTAAATTCAAACGTGCAGCAAGCTAGCACACATCATGCACAGAATGTACAGCCATGAAGGTCATAGGTCAACCCAGCTTTGTCGGAGGTCTGTGTGTGTGAAAAACACCCCACGTACAGTACCTTGGCTCCTGTCAATGCTCGATGTACCCACTTTTCGTCAACAATTTCCCCCGTTGAGTTTGGAATCTGTGAGGGTTTTTTCAAGAATGATTGATGATAAAACAAATTCAAGAAACGCAGCCATTTACAATTGCCGCCTTTCGATTAAAAGCCATGCATATCACAGGATTGGTGGATGCGTTCTTCATGTACATGTACATGCATATTGGTTTGTATTCGTGCTGACATGCTTTGCCAGTTGCCGGCCATGATCCAGCATTATGATTATGAAACTATGTGACACTATGAGAGCAAGGATGGTGTTGTGTTGTAATGAAAGGAATGCACCTTGCCCTTTTTTCAGTCACTTCAAGAGAACATGATAGCACTTTCTGTGTTCCTATTAGCCTTGCTCAGGTTTGTCTTATATGATACCCATATGGGCTAGCCACACAGTTCCCATATATGGGGCATGTGCCTAGGTTTCTCTCATTATGATACCCATATGGTGTGCCCATGTTTTTCCCATCATGATACCCATGTGGATACGACCAGGTAATTCCTATGCAAGTGTGCCAAGGTTTACCCCATCTGAAACCCGTACGGGTCAGCCCACGTGGTTCCTATGTAGGAGTGCCCAAGTTTATCCCATATGATACCCATGTGGATCGGCCCAGGTAGTTCCTATGTAGGAGTGCCATTTTTTTCCCCGTATGATACCCATTTGGATCGGTCCAGGTAGTTCTCATGTAAGAGTAATGTTTTTCCCGCATGATACCCATGTGGATATGCCCAGGTAATACCCACGTGGGGTATATGTGCCCAGGTTTTTCCCTTTATGATACCCATATGGGCTAGCCACACAGTTCCCATACATGGGGCATGTGCCCAGGTTTCTCCCATTATGATACCCATATGGTGTGCCCATGTTTTTCCCATATGATAACCATGTGGGTAGGCCCAGATAATTCCCACGCAAGTGTGCCCAGGTTTGTCCCACCTGATACCCATATGGGTCAGCCAAGGTAGTTCCCATGTAGGAGGGCCCATGTTTTTCCCCTAATATGACCATGTGGAATGCCCCAGGTACTTCCATTTGGGCGTGCCTGTCCTTTTCCCATATGGATAGACCCAAGTAATTCCCAAGCAAGTGTGCTCAGGTTTGTCCATCTGATACACACATGGGCCAGCCCAAGTAGTTCCCATGTGGGTGTACCTAGGATTTTTCCATATGATGATACCCATGGATCAGCCCGAGTTGTGTCCAGGTTTGTTCCAATACAATACAATACAATACCCATATGGGCCTGCCCACAAACTTCCCATGTGGGCGTACTTGCATTTTTCCCTTTTGATACCCATGTCGATCAGCCCATGTAGTTCCCATGTGAGTGTGCCCAGGTTTAATCCATATGATTCCCATATGGGACAGCCCACGTACGTAGTTCCCATATGGGTGTGCCCATATTTTTCCCATGTACTACCCATGTGTATCGGCCCAGGTATTTTCCATGTGGGTGTGCCCATGTTTTTCCTATATGACACCTATATGGGTCGGCCCATGTGGAATCTCATATGGGGTTTCCCAGGATTGACCCGTATGAGATCTGACCCAAATAGGTCAGCCCATGTAGATCTTGATATGAGAAATCCCATATGGGCCCTATATGGGATAAGCATGGGTCATCCCCCTTTCCCAGATGACCACGTCCCCCTGGTTTTTCCCATAAGGGCCCCATATAAGCTTGCTACCTGGGCACATCACGCAACCCTGTGAAAGTTAATTTATTGATGCTGTGTGAGTAGGATTGTGTACAGCTTGAGTAGTTGCTATGTGATCAGTGCACACACACCAACCTGCACAGGATGACCACCTGTGGGGATTGTTCATGTTTTACCAGAGTCCTCTGGTGGGGGCTACTCCCTAGCTCATTAGTATGTATTAAGATTTTGGCCCACTACTCATTGTTCAGAAGGACAGTGGCCAGCAATTTTACTGTTCTGCTTGGACTGCTGCAAATATTTAATCAGGTGGATTAGGAAGCAAGTTATCCTTGACTAAGGACCCTGTTTCCATTAATAGTGTTCATTACTCTGTTATTTCCCTCGACTAGGAATTTGTATTTGAGAATTTTCAGGACTTGAAACTTGACTTCAACTTGACTGAATCTTATGTTTAATAGTTTCCCTTTTAGCTTTTGCTCGTTTCCACGTACTATCTAGGTAATTTTACGTTTACTTATTATTTTTACTTCTTTGTTTTTGTTGTAGCTTGCCCATCAACCCTTTTTTCCATCAAATAAACTTGTAAAAATAACTCCTGCATCACACAAGCTTGGCTTGAACCTGCAGACAGTGCTTGACCTTGGTTTGACCGGGTGGCGAGTGTGCTTTGCCTGTAGTTTCCTCAACTCAAGTCCAGTTTCATACTATGCTCAAAACTAGTGTAGCATTCCATTTTGACCAGTTATGAAACCACATTTTCCCCCTTTGATTGCTAAAATCGGTGCTCAAACACCCGAGTTACGTTAAATCTTTGAGTTGTGTAGTCATTTGTGTGGGTCACAACTTACTCAGCACGCATGAAAGCCGCCTTGCAAGTGCATAAATAGTACTATGCCATAGAAGTAGTTTCTTATGATACATCATAAAATGAAACTGAAGTATACGAAAAATAGATGCTTAATTACCTGTGTTCACATTCTGACTTAAATCGTTCACAAATCCTCAATGAATCTCATAGGTAATTGATAACGAAGTTAAAGTCAGACTATATTTTCTTGTGGACGTAGATGGTGCTGACGTTGCCAAATACATTGGTTACATGAAAGGAGGATCAAAGAACAGTAACTTCGTTGTCAGAATTCTGCCCCCTTATTGGGAGAGCGGATCATAGTATGCACTTAATTTGTTGTCGGAATTTTTCCCCCTTATTGGGAGGTCAAATCATAGTTCACACTTAACTTTGTATGGGCTGATTATAGTACACACTAAACTTCAATGTCGGAATTCTGCCCCCTTAATTGGGAGGGCAGATCATAGTATGCATTTAGCTTTGTAATCAGAATTCTGCCCCTTATTGGGAGAGCGGATCAAAGTGTGCACTAAACTTCGCCATCAGAGTTCTACTTCATAATTGAGAAGGCAGATCAAGGTATGCACTAAGTTTCGCTGTCAAGTCGCTTCTTCAACAAAATGATCTCCATAGATATTACTCCAGAATGTCTTTTAGGCAACCATACCAATGTTTTGTCTATTCATGGAGGAAGAGAAACATTCCTCCATGGTCTATTTCATACACATTGAATGCCTTTGTGAGTTTTCACAAGTTGTTGGACTCAAATGATATTAAGAAATTTTGGTAGCTTATTTTACATGTAGGTCTATAAGCAATACTGTTTTTTATTTCATTAACATTTGAGCTGCTGTGTAATGGCCCACAGACACCTTGTAAATTCCACAAACAAAACAATTTTGTTTCAAAAGGCTTACGTTTTATTTCATTTTCATTCCCGCTGATGTGCATTATCACAGGCCTAACATTTAAGTCTGCAGCCACTTATCTGTAGGTTCAACATAACCCCTTTTGACCAAATTTGCTCACATGATGATCATCAGGAGGGAATACTTTAATTCATCAGTAGACAATATTTCCATCTGTTGGGGGCCGGACTTTACAAGTGCTCCTGATGCTGTACATAACGAGGAACCAGGGTCAGCGTGATTTATCGTTGGTTAAGGGAAAGTGGTTTTTGTTTTTTTGTACTCAGATCAGTCTACCTTTCAGATTCGAAAACGGAAAAATAGTTTTTCATTTGTAAAAATCTGGGATCCACCAAAAAATAATTTACCGATATAAAAAACTATTCTCTGTCCTTGAAATTTGTTCTTTAAAATTTGTAGACCAGCTTATAAAAAGGCCTGCATTAGGTTGCCCTCTAAGACACAAGTACTCTGAAAACAGTACTCGAGTACCAGTACGAGCACTACAACACTGGGTGCAACACATGAGATGCAAAGTTAACGAGGTGCAGTTGTGTGTAACTAAACTGGAGCTTGGCAGAACCATTGGAAATTCCAAACAGAATGGTTACGGTAGGGTGTATTGCACATCTCACCATTCAGACTGATCTGGCTGTGGTTGAAGCTGTTCCGGGCCATCATGGTGACAAGCAACAGCTGGACAGGGCTAGTGGTACATGTTTGGTCCAACTGCACTGCCGCTCATGCTGCATTGTGATGAGTGCAATGATTGAATCCCTACACTATGCACCATTGGCTCAGCTTAAAGACAGAGAGGACCGGGCTAGTTAGCAGGATCAGAGTGGCGAGGGACATGGGGGTGTCTCACCTGGCAAATGGTTCAGACATAGGGGTGATGGGCCACAATGCTACAACTCAATCCACCAGCTAGAATTTCCAACATGCCAAACTGAGCAGAGATAACACAAAGACAAAAGAGTGAAGCAACACGCGATCACACCAGAATGCAGCATGAATAACTTAATTCAAAATTAGAATTTTTGCTACATTTCTCTGTGCATAGCTGAGCTAAATAAGAGACCCTGGGAATGCAAGGCAATGAGAATAAGTAAAACATAGGGGCGCTAGAGTTTCACCATCGAGGTTCGCAGGTGCACCACAGTATGTACCTGTACATGTACAGGTAGGGTAAACACAGTGCAGGAAGCTATTATCTACGGTAATGCTATCCTTTCTGCACAACACCTAAAATGAACACAGGAAGCAATCCATTGCCAAGTTGCTACTTATAAATAATTTGATTATTTACATTTGATAATGCCATGAAGACATAAGTCAGTTCTTTTTTGTTTTTGAATGTCACTATTGGTTTTTCTTTTTCTTTCAAAAACAGTTGAAGTTCGAGATCTATACATGCGATTTGCTTCAGCTAAACAGATACTGCAAGCCACTGAGGAAGGGACAGACTTGGCAAAGATCCGGATGCAAAAGTATAGCAAGGTTTTCCTTTGATTTCATTTGTTTTTAGCCCAAGACAGTGCACACATAATCCACATCAAGGGAATGTTACCTTCTGAACACATGTTGGAGTAGGGTACTGCTTTAAAACATCATGACACAGGTTTTTCACAATAACTACCAGAGTTTTCAAATGACGCAGCAATAATAAATGACGTAAGGCAAACAAAATAAGGTAACTTGACGGAAAACAATATTGGGGGCAACTACATAAGGAGATGCATGTACATATACATATAAGTCTCACCCAATGAAGGTTTTTAGCTGCAGAGATATTAAGGTGGAAGGCTTGCGGTAGCACTATGCAAGGATACGATCTCTTTTGTGAGTCTGTATGGTTCTGAAAAGAACGGCGAGGAAACTCAATGTTTTGGACAGTATGCTCTGTCCGTTGTCAGGAGACTAAAGAGATGCTGACAGAGAGTGGGGCTTATAAGCTAACTGGGAGCACTGGAGAGTGATGGATCCTTCTGTGTAGTCAGGTGGAATGACAATGTAGCTGGTGGATCCACCTGGGTACTGATGCATGTCAGTAGGTCATGGGCTGTGGCCTGAAATCTCCAAATATCCCACAGTGCCTCAAGACATCGGCTTCTCCATCAGCGACATCTGGCAGCCCCTGCTCACCTCCCGGTCTGATGGGTCCTCTATACCCTAGCCCTCCCTTCCTCCCCCCCCCCGCCCATGGG